ATTGACTCATCAGTTACGGAATTAACTCATCAGTTATAGAAATAACTCATCAGTTACGAAATTAACTCATCAGTTACGGAATTCCAGCATTTACACAGCTGTTACAAGTCTTCCAAAAGTAATGGATGAATTGAGTAAATGCTCATAATGGACACATAATTCAAGAAGAATGGTTACTTAGATTTAGTCCTATAAATAGACATACTTTTACCACCACGGGGGGATCTAATTTTCTTCTCTACAATTCTATACATTGTAATTTATAGCATATAGCTCTCAAGTTAGCCAAAGTTCGGCCCTTCAAGCCCTATTCGGCTCATTATCCTATCAAGGATCATTCAATAAGAATTCTTTCTTCTCTGCTTTATTTTTATTATATTATTTGTCATTGAATTTATTTTCCACTTCTCTATCACGTTGTATTAACAAAATTTTATATCTTTCGGATTGAATCGGTTGCTTGTGGCCCGTCATATAAAATTATTGCTTTGACCTTGAAAACCATTTTTTGGGTTAAACAGTTTGGTTCCGTTACCAGGAACTCAAGCAAAATTTTCTATTCATCCAAAGATAGTAACAATTTTTGTTAATCGCTTGTTTTCAGTTTAAACCTTCATGATGGCTAAAAGTTTTCCAATCAACACAGTTGAGGACAACCAAGTTGGAGATGGATTTACCATGCAAAATAAAAAGAGAATAATAGCCATGATGATGATATGTAAGCAACAAGCATAGAAAAATAGAGAATGTACATCGATATATTGGTACCGCAACTATTAGTACCAAAACTGAGTATAACGGATCTGTACGAAACAGTTCCGGAACAGGAGGTTCAGATACACCAGGTAATTTTAATTTGCAAAAATTAGATCTAACCTTATAGAAACAGATCAAGGAACAAAACGAGCGGGTAGAACACCTCCAGGAATTCCTATCTATCCTACAAGAATGATATGCATAACCGTTGCAGCACCGGGATTTAAACAGAAGAAGACACGGTAAATCAAATCGACACTAATAAGATGTCCAAAAACAGGCCCGGAGATCAAACAGATGTGATTCTTGGGTGATCCTAATCTAAACGCAAAAATCTAAAAAACAGGTCCGAGCAAAGAGATACGATATTTTCTTCACGGGCTGGAAAAGATCCGGATCTACCCGAACAGGTAAGGAATTACCTTGCTAAATTGTAACATTTCATAGGAGAAGAATGAAGATTAGGAGGAACATGGATAAAACACTCACGGGATTGCTTACAAAGATACCAGACCTAACAACTGAAAAAGAAGAGATAGCTGCGGGATGAAATAGCCCACGAGGAAAGAAGGTTCATTAATAACCGTGGACAATTATACAAATATTTTCGGAAGCAATCATTGAACCAAAGGCATCAAAAGCCACAAGGTCAAATGCTGAAGAACTAGAAATTATCATTGACTTCCCAAATAGGAAGGTTTGCGTTGGTCGAGACTCGACACCGAATTTAAAGGTAAGTTGATTAAACTTTTACATGTTAACAAAAATTGCTTTTCTTGCCTCCATGCTAACATAATAGGTGTACCACCGGAGGTAAAGGTTTATATGCTCAATATTGACCCGTGGTATAATCCGGTCAAGCAAAAGAAGAAACTAGAGTCAAATAATAAAAGATAAAGTTACAGAACTTCGAAAGATCGATTTAGTCCGAAAAGTCGAATCATTCGAACTTGCTTTCTAACAACAACACATCATTACTTTCAAAATTCCGAGGAGAAAGATGATTGCAGCTACACCAAATTGTCTCGGATGTCTCGGTAAATGCAATTTTAATTCAAGAAGATAAAGGTACACATTCTCCTATCTATAATAAAATGCTCTTAGATACGGAAACTACATATCTACATTTTGATAAGTTGGCATTAATTGTAGTTGCCCTAAATCTAAGGNCTAGAAGGCTACACTAATTTTATCCTCGAACTCGACTCTATGGTGATTGCAAACATATTGATAAATAGAGACACCAACAATCTTAAAATCAAACAAACAATTGAGAGAATGATGCAGACTATACAACAGGCCAATGTAAGAGTAAAGCATTGTTATAGAGAAGGCAACCAAGTTGCAAATTATCTTGCGAAACTGGCTTCTACCTCGGGTAATAGCATGACTATCAACTCATATCAACAACTTCCTACATGTGCTAAAGGCTATTTCCTCTTGGATAAGTGGCAAATGCCAAGTAATAGAACCAAATTCGACAAAGCTAATTTTTTTGTCAGCTAGAGATGTATCATTCGCTCTTCCCAGATGGAGAACCCCTTCAGTATATATCTCCTCTGGTTTTTCTTTTCTTCTTCTGCTGTTCGTTTTTTGGATGATGGAATCACCAAGTTGTATTTTATGAGGTTAGGCCTAGCCCCCCTCACTGATCCTTTTTGAATACAACTGAGCCCAGTATTGCAACTGGGTAAAAAAAAAAAAAAAAAAAAAAAAAAAAAAAAGAGGTAAAGATCTATAATTAATTAGCAATAGTAAATTTAATATGATAACCTGAAAAAGTAAATTAATATCTTAGTTATAATAAATTAAATTACGATGATAATGTTAAATTCTTTACCCTGTCATTATACAAAACCTAAATTCTAAACAGAAAGTTGCTCCTTCTTTCCCATGCTGGGTTTTCTTCCCTTTTAATTGTATGTTTTATATTCCCATGACTAGAAGCTGTCCAAGCAAGTGGACGCTAGAAACATCCCCCATGCACCAACATGTACAAGTCAGTTTTAATTTATACTTTATTATTGCCTTTTTTTTTTAATTTTCACTAGATGTACGATATTTATATTATTTTTTTTTAATTTTTATTTGATGTCCCATACTCATATTGAAGTCCCATAATATTACCGCTTAAGATTGACTAAATGGAAAAACGCTCTTTACCATAATTTTTTTATTTTTATTTTTAGAGCTCGAAGCCTCGAACTCATGATTTTAATTTAATTAGCAGTGGAGGGATCGTTGCAAGTTGCAACCACAACCATTCATTAGTTCATTGCTGCAACTTGTAGCTAGTCACGTTCAACTTCGACCCCATTTTTTTCTTGTTTAAATTGCATTTGAATATTAACGAATTGGACGGCAAACTATTGAATAATAACAATCACAAACCTATCACTTTCATAATTATTATTTTAATATAACCATCGAGTATTCAAAACTTATATATTGGCCCAACTTGCTATATTTGCACAGGATATTATCTATTAATGGAAGTACGACACCTCCTAATGAAAAAAATAAATCATTCACAAAGCTCGAAATTTGTGGTTAGGGATTCAAACTCCCTCACACTTCATTGTTCTTTCACAATGCATTCATGTCTATTTTGTATTAAAATTTGAGTTGTGATTACAGTTCCAATATATCCCTTACATTTATTTTGGGGAAAAAGTTCAATAAAACACAAAATAGTCTATACTTCATATACAGTCAAACCTCTCTATAGCAGTCTCATTTGTTCCGAAATTTTTTGAAGTGTTATTATAGAGGACATATATTATAACTTAACATAAAAATCGGTTCCGAGAATAACTTGACTTTTATAGTGAATGATTGTTATATATATATATATATATATATATATATATATATATATATATATATGGATGCTATTATATATGGAGAGGTTTGACTGTATTCTATTTTAATATTTATTTTTTTTTACATTTTGATAACAAATACTAACAAAGGTAGTAAGGAAGGAAGGGGATGAATAACTTGACTGTTACTATTCACTATTTTACAAACCTATAGACTTATTTTCATATTTTGAGTGTCAACAATCATATTCATAATTTTGGTCCTTTCTGACTTTTTCGGCTTATTTTCATCCATTCTTTAAGCCGTTGTATCAATATGAATCCAACAATACACAAAATAGACCAAAGTACCTCCTCCATTCCAAAAGATATTTTAATTTAGTTTAAAAAGAATCTTAAAAATTGTTGAATAATTGTTAATCATTTGGAATGACTATTTCTCTGTTCGGAAAAGAAAGAATAGTCAAAGTTTTAAGAACCCAAATATTGTTTATTTCTTAGTGACCTACATGATTCATTACAAAGAAACGCCACCAATATATTATAACGAAATTTGTTATAAAATGAATGTTTATTTTAAAAGAAAGGAACACTCACCATTTTTTCTTTTTCTTTTTTTGGTTATGGGATCCCCTTACCTCCCTAACCAAAAAAAAAAAAAAAAAAGGAAAGAATTTAAATCGGATTACTCAAAAAGCACAATTCTGTCTTATTTTGTAATTCACTTGGTTTCATTTTTATTTTCCGTATAAGTAATACCAATATAATTTTGTAGTCTTGCAAAAGCTCTTTTTAGAAGGTCAAAATTAATATTGAAAACAAGAATTTATCCCAATTTATGTAGTTTAAATCAAACACATGTTATCCATTGTATAAAGCATATTCTATTTCTAATGCATGAATTAAGCAAATCACAAGTGCTAAATAATTCAGGAATTACCAATCTCCGTATTATAACTTTATGCATTATAATTCCACCATAATTTTGTCCATAAAACACACATGATCCCGTAAAGGGATCGTTTGGTCAAAACAGGGTTATCCCAAGGATAATAATCCCACCTATTATATATGGATATAAAATACCAAGTTTTTGGTATAAATTTATAGTGATATTAGCTAATATTGTACCAATAAGCAAACGATGGATGCAATCCCAAATTTTATTAACCAAACGACCCCTAACTATTTGTACTAAAAATAGATTCTTTTTGTCTCCTACTAAAAACAGATATTGCCTGTAGTAAAATAACGGTTTTACCCGCAAAGACTATTTCAGGTAAATTAAGAAACTATTTGTCTCAAAAGTTTCAAGAAGACTAATGGTCAAAGCCGCACTTGTCAAAACCAATGCCAATTCAGAGAAAGTCAACAGAAAGCAGCTACAACCTTCACATATATTTAGGAAGCATTATTTGTTTACTCTATTTCAGGGAAAATATTATATTCCAGTCTTATAATCTGATCATAATATCTCTAGAAGGGTCAGTTTTTTCTTTCTTCTTGTTCAAAAACATATACCAAACTTATCAGCATATATACATCTTATTTGCTTTCTTCTGATTCTTGCATCTGGGGTCTGCCCATTTTATCATATCTTTGCTGAATTGTCCTTTAATTTCCTTTTAATTTTCTAGCTTGAGCCCTTTTGTTTTGTCTATCCAATTCACCTGAAAAAGTGGGGTTGGAGTTCAAAAAATTAATTCTTTACATTTTGTCTACCCAATTCACCCTAATTCCGATTTTTGTTGCATAGAGCCCGTTAAAAGAGGCAGTGCTCTCGCTATCTACCGGCAATTTTTCCATTCCTAGAGCTTGAACTCGAGACTCGATTAAGGGTGGAGGGATTTCATTCAACCCCTTTGGAGGTGTGTTAAGCTAATTTCTTGGATTCTTTTATGATATGGGAGTAATGGAGGTTGAGGAAAAGCTGATTGCAGCTGCACAGCGGATTGCGAAAGCATTGGAAAAGAAACAGAATTTAACAAATGATGCAAGAAAAATTCTGGTTGATTTAGGTTCTCAGTTGTCTTCCATAACCAAATTGAGTGAAAACAAACATGAGAAATTTTCTGGTGAAATTGAAGACACTGTAGAGAAGTTCAGTGAGCTTGAAGAGCAGCTTAACATAGTTCAAAATAAGGTGATGAGCTGGGAAGTGGATCAATCTGTTATATGGGATTGTGGTCCTGAATATGCAGATGATTATTTGAGGTCTGTGGATGAAGCTCGAAAACTGATTGAACGGTTAGAGAGTTTGAATGTGGATAAAGATGGTAAAGAGGATGAGCTTTTGTGCAGGGCTCATGAGGTTATGCAAATAGCGATGAATCGTCTTGAGGAGGAGTTTAGGCATTTGCTTGTTCATAACAAGCAGCCTTTTGAGCCTGAGCATATGTCTTTTCGTTCAAGCGAAGATGATGAGGGTTCTATTGTTTCATTTGGCGATGACTCGGTAGAGGATGTGGTTCAAAGAGATAGTATGAGTAGGCGCTCGGAGGAATATGTCGTTGAACTTGTGCATCCGGATGTGATTCCTGACCTAAGGTGCATTGCCAATTTGATGTTCAATTCAAATTATGGCAGAGAATGTTCTCAAGCATTTATCAGTGTTAGAAAGGATGCATTGGATGATTGTCTATTGATTCTTGAAGCAGAGAAGTTGAGCATAGAGGATGTGATGAAGATGGAATGGAACTCATTGAACTCCAAAATCAGGAGGTGGATACAGTGTATGAAGATCTTTGTGCGCGTTTATCTTTCCAGTGAAAAATGGTTAAGTGATCAGATTTTTGGTGATCTTGATTCAGTTAGTTCGGTTTGCTTTGCTGAATCTTCAAAAGCTTCAATACTGCATCTTCTGAAATTTGCTGAAGCAGTGGCTATTGGATCTCATCAACCGGAGAAGTTGATTCGGATTCTTGACATGTATGAGGTGCTTTCAGATCTTATCCCAGATATAGATGCTATGTACTCTGATGATGCTGGATTATGTGTTAGAACCGAGTGCCAAGACATCCTCGGAAGCTTGGCCGATTGTGCAAGAACAACATTTCTTGAATTTGAGAATGCTGTTGCATCCAGCATATCGACGAATCCTTATCCTGGTGGTGGAATACACCCTCTCACGAGATACGTTATGAACTACATGAAAACTCTTACAGATTATAGCAAGATCCTTAACGTGCTTCTGAAGGACAACGAGCAAGAAGATTTGGTGGCAATTTCACCAGAGATGACACCGGATACGGAAGAGGACAACAGTAACAGAATTTGCTACATTTCTCCACTGGCTCAATATTTTCGATCCTTCACTTCAATGTTGGAATGCAACCTAGACGATAAGTCCAAGTTATACAAGGATGAATCACTAGGTCACCTTTTCTTGATGAACAATATTCATTACATGGCTGAAAAGGTGAAGAATTCTCATGATCTAAGAACAATACTAGGCGATGATTGGATTCGCAAACATAATTGGAGATTCCAACAGCATGCAATGAACTACGAGAGAGCTACTTGGAGCTCCATACTTTCGTTACTTAGGGACGAAGGGCTTCAGAATCCAGGCTCGAATTCTATCTTTAAAACTCTGCTCAAAGAGAGACTGCACAGCTTTTATCTTGCATTTGATGAATCTTACAAGAGCCAAACAGTTTGGTCAATACCTGATTACCAACTTCGTGAAGATCTTCGAATCTCAATATCTCTCAAAGTTATTCAAGCATACAGAACATTTATCGGAAGGCATACGAACCATATTAGTGACAAATACATTAAGTACAGTGCCAATGACTTGGAGAATTTCTTGTTGGATCTATTTGAGGGATCTCCAAGATCATTACATGGTTCTCACAGGAAGTGAGGTTAATGTAATAAGAGATTTCTGTCATCAAGATTTTTTCATTCTCAATTTGTTATTTAGATTGTAAATGATGTCCATTTTATAATAGGTTGATTGTTTCACTTTTGTATTTTTCCAAAGTGAAAAAGATCTCACAGAGTTATTTATTTATTAGCATTTTTGACATCAAAATTTGGTTTTTCAGATTGAATGACATGTAAAATATCTCAACTTATCTACTCACTGACTTAAGATTAATACCTTATATCTATTTACAACTAGGATCAAAATAATTACTTTTAGAATGCAAATAGTGTGTTGTATTATTGAATTATTGGGTAATTGTTAACATCAATATTAGTATTTGGACTATGTATCGGGGGGAGTCGGTTTTGCCGTCGCCTAATTCAGTTTTAACTTGGTTTGATAATCTTTTTTCATAAATTTCTATCACCAAGTCATCGTCCGCAATCAGCTCTTATCCTTTCTTTTCTTGTCCGAAAACTTTCTTTATTCTTATTGATGAATGAAATTCTTTCTGACAAATAAATTAAATTATTTTGGCTAGACAAGCAAGCTGGAATAGCTCAGTTGGTTAGAGCGTGTGGCTGTTAACCACAAGGTCAGAGGTTCAAGCCCTCCTTCTAGCGATTAGCTTTTTATTTTTTCAGTTTTTTACTATACTACTAATATTTATTTGACTTTTGGCTAACAAATTTTCTTTTTCTTGTCAAAATCCATCGGAAATTATACCTAAAATAAATGTAAGGCTATTTTATACTCCATTTCACTAACTTTTAGAGATGGGCGTGACCGGATGCATAGCTTGTAACCTATGGGTTTACATGAATTCGTAACTTTTGCCTAAATTCTAGAGTATTTTGATTATAAAATATAAATCTTTGAAAGGGATTATATTTCTCAAATAAATTTCTCTGCAATAATACTAACGATCTTTATATTAATTTTGGATCGAAAGAATTACAAGAAAATACACATGACTTCACACCATAACAAAAAATTGCCCATGTTTTTAAGTTTTACCCCACCTAGCCCACATTGTACATATTTTGAAAGCACTTGCAAATTCAAAATATATGTTTTTACAACAATTGCTTCTAAAAGCTATGGAGTTAATTCTTTGTTCTCACAACTATTGCTTTCACTCTTCTTCTCACATCTTTTACATATGCTTCAAAGGACCGTGTATTTTCTGCTTCTCCTCTTGTGTCACCTGCTTGCAATGAAAGAAAATTGAAGAGTAGAAGTCCCACCATTGAAGATCATTCAAAGCTTTGCTTTTGAAAATGGGTTGTTTTGAATTTGTTAGTTGTTTGGATTGGGTATTGTTCCAATTGATTGAAAATATCAAAAGGAGTACGAAAATTAAATTTGAAGTGATTTGGAGTAGATTTGAGCAAGATTTGAATTAAATTTCAGAAAAGACGCAAGAAAGAAGACGAAGTCAGTTTTTTGTATAATTATGTATAATGTTGTATAATATTGTATATGAGTGTAGAAACACACCTTATACACTGTTATACACTTTTATACACCTTTATACAAGCGTCTGTAGACGAATTCTTCCACGATTTTCAGTTGCAATTCTTATTCAAAACCAATCCAAATCTCCATTAAATGACTTCAAATTTTATATACAACCTCCTTATACTATTTCTAACAAGTCTAAATAACACCCACTCCAAATTTCTCATAAAATCAAATATGAAATTTAAACCCACATATTTAAGCTTGTTAAAAATCTAATTTTCACCACCCAAATGAAGTTGGTTTGTTGAATTAATATTTGAGTCACAATTACTGATTCGAAAAGTAATTTAAAAGCTTGATGAATCTTTTTTAAAAATTAAATAGTAATTTTGAGAAGCTATTGGAGTTGGATGTTGAATCTTAGCCTATTATTTATGGGCTAGTTGGTTGTAAATTGAAATATAGGCTATAAAATTGAAAAGTATGAAGCCCAGTTATTCTAATGTGAAATTTTCCCTTTTGGATCTCCCATCACTCTCCCAACTCTTCTATGAATTTAAACATAAGACAAACATAAGTTTGATATCAAGTCTAATAATTTCCAAAAGGACCAAAACATGCTCCTGAAAAGAGAGACTTGTGACTCTTTTACTTGAGTTTTTGCTTTTCCATGCAAGCATATATAAAAGCAAATAGTAATTAATTGATGTAAAAAGGAGAGCAAGATTGGGAACTGCTCCCCTTGGTTCTTGAACTTAAATAAACTGTGGCATACGTAAGTTACCTACGGGGAGGGTAATACTGTTACAGATGCACTGGCACATTTTGGCAAGGAGCCACCTTTTGTTTTGCCGTACTTACTTTTGGACTCGCGGGGCACTGGAACTGTACGTTCCATCCCCTCTTTGTAATAACTATGTTCTAAATAAATAAAATGCTTGTTATTAGCAAAAAAAAAAAAAAAAAACTTAAATAAACTTGAAAAGACAAAAACCTTATACTCCCTCCGTTCACTTTTACTTGGCACGTTTTGATCTTTCACGCCCTTAAGAAATAATAAATGAAGTGCATAATTTACCATGATACTCATATTAATTGATACATATTTTATTGAATTTGAGAAAATGATTTGAAATGAGTAATAGATACTGTGAGTATAATAGGGGGGAAAATTGTCTTCTCTTGATATTGTTTAACCAAAAAATAGAATTTCGGTTAAAACTAGAAATTAAGAGAAAAAATCAGGTTACTGATAATCAGGAGACGAAAAGAATAAGAAATTTTTGAGGATAATAAAGCAGTAAATAAGTTTGTATTTCAATGTAATCTCAATGATTTTTCGTGTCCCTACAAATGCTGAGACCTCCTCCTTTTATAGTTGATTTTTCTAGGAAAAGGTATAATGCCTTAGCCTTAAAGAGGCAATTATGAGCATTAAATGACATTAAATGAAACGTTACACAATCATTCCTATTCAATACTGATTCGCTAATGTATTTGACATTTAATACTGAATTTAGACTCCTTTATGCCATCAGATTCATATCTTCAATTCCTTCTGACCTCCTGGCTTTAATTAAGTTAAATAGATACGAGACTCGTATCATTTGAATAGCATCTCGTGCCTATTTAACTTTCTTTTCCTCGTATCTGATATCGCCCGTGCCTCTTAACTGATCATCATGTTTTGACCATTTGACCAGTCCACGTGTCATGCCACGTCACCTTCAATATAAATTCAGTTTTTTCCCTATACAGATAGTCCCCCCACTTTCTATTTATTTATCAATTAAATATTTGGGAAGTGGATCTTCATTAAAAAGGGAATTTTTGCCATAATCAATGCTATGACAGTGTCGACGCTTCAATTGTCTCTTCTATTTAATGCACCATATACGTGTCACCTTCTCATTAGTTCTGCGATTTTGCAGCCTTTTTCTAAGGCTTCTTTAACTCCACTATTCACGAAGTGATAGTTGCCTTTACTATAGGCTTTCCATCATTACACTTCTTAATTATCGACGGTTGAGTTTATATATAAACTTGCCCCCTTTTTCCTTTGTCTTCTTCTTCACAAGCTTTTTACCAAATTTCTTGCTATTTACTCTCGTTCACTTCTTCTTCAGTTCATACCTTCTGTTCATATCTTCTCACTATGTCGTCTTCAAATCCTAACCCTAAAAGAGTCCCAATTATTGATAGTTTCTCCAATGCTCCTGCTAGACATAGAAGAGGTAGAGGAGGTGTGCTTCGTGGTACAGGGCCGGTTCGTGGTGGTACCTCTGGTTCCATCACTCTTTCTTCTAGTTCTGGAAATATCTCTAGAGGCTCTCTTTCTAATAGATCCTCTTCTAAGGGCAAAGAACCTTCTGAGTCTAACCAAGAGCCTCTGGTTGAAGAAATTGTGCCAACGGATTTATCTTTCGAACATGACAAAGAATCCCTTCTTGACCAAGTGATTAAATTAGAGAGAGATGATAAATATCCCTCTTTAATTACTGAACATTTGATTCAAATTGTTCGAAGAGACTGTCGTTGGAGAGATGACACCCACATAGTTATTCCTACCCCACACCAAATAATATCTTCTTATAGGGTTGGCTTTTCTTTCGTTTACACTTATCCCTTTACTTTGGGATTTATTCCTGCTATTGACCCAGTCATACTTGATTTCTGTCGTTTTTTCAAAATTTGTTTGGCTCAAGTTGGTCCCCTCGTATGGAGAACAGTAGCTTGTTTGAGGTATATGTCAACCAAAGCTGATGTTGACTTTACTTTCCCTCATCTAATTCATCTTTATCACCCCAAGCTATTCCGCAATGGTGTTTTTACCTTATCTGCAAGAAGTAAGAGGGTTTTGATTAACCCTGAAGATAATAACGACCGTGGCTGGTACACCCGGTTTGTTGCTGTTCCCACAATTGATTTGGTGGGTGAATCAAATATTCCTTTTCCTGAGAAATGGAACTTTGCACGTAAGTATTTTCTTCCTTGCCGTATCTGCTTTCGTTATTTCAACTTCTTTTCTAATTTTATTATTATTCCTTTGCTTTTTTGTAGCAACCATGGGAGATGTGGAACCCGTTCCTAATTTCCGTGGTTGGGTAGATGCTGTCTTGAAAGCCGTGCCTATGGAGGTACGAACTTGGAAATCTATTTCCAACAAACATGGTTGGAAAGTGAAAACTCACGGTATACATCCCTTTTTGCTTCTCGTGTGTTAAATTCTTTTCCCCTCTTTTAATTTTTTATCCTTCTTTTTGTCAGGATTTGCAATTCGAGGGATGTTGGCTGAAGTAGCTATCACCATTCGAGCTTCTTCCAGTACTCATCTTGCTTTGGAAAGAACACAAGCCACGCTGTCAAAGAGGAAAGTGGTTGAAGAGGATTCTGACATTGATGAAGATGAAGATACCTCTTTGACAGCTCGTCCTAGAACCAGGAGGCGCATTGTTTCTGAGGATGAAACTGAAATCTCTCCTGCTCGTACCTCCGAACCCGTTACTATTACTTCTGATGAAGAAACCATTCCAAGGGACACCCCTGAATCCACTCATCGCCTCTTTATTGAGGGCTTCGAAAGTGGTGAATTAGGTCCGGTTTTAGATGAAATTCCTCTTTTATCTTCCGTTCCTGTTCTTTCTGTTCCTCCTCTAATTTCAAGTGTTTCCTTACCCA